GTATGCAGACTATGCTGGTGCTAAGTCACAAGGACCGACTCTTGTGGCATGCAGATCCCCTATAAGGAAGGTGTGTCACAGATCAAATCAGAGAACCTGTAGGCCTTGGCAAGTCTCAGCAGAACACTCCCCCAGCATCGACACACTCACTCATCAACCACCGTCCTGCACAACCCAGACTGTTACCAGACAGAGTCCAGTGGAAAGGGACCTGAATAGAGAATGTATGTCCCTCAGCAAAGGATAATAAAAGCACCCGCAATACACTGTTTACTCTTGATTATGCCAAGCAGGTGCCTCTCCCATTGATCTAGTCAGCTTACAGCCTTTCCATTTACAATCACTTCCAGTCAAGGACCTCAGTCTATAGGCATATACTGTTGAGTATGGACTCAGTCATTGCAGAGGAAGCAGACACAGCTTATGTGGCTGGCCCCCAGAAGCACCTTGGTCCAGTGAGCGCAGATGTGCTCAGGAATAGGGATACCCTGATTAGATACCCACTTTTGTGTACCCAGAAGCTGCCCTGCTAGGTGCTGTAGACATAGGGGTCATAGGCTGCTGGCAAGGTAGGTGCCATAGACCAAGGACCACCTCTGTCTATGTGAGGATCTGGGGTCTCACCCAGAGGAATTGCTGGTTCTGGTCTTTTGAGCCTGGCAGTACCCACAGCTCCACCCTGACAGCAAACTTGTAAGGTACTTCCTGGGGGAAACTCACATAACCTTTCTGAGGAGGGAAGTCATATATGTAGGTGGCATGCTAAGTAAAGAACTGGTGGGAAATTGGGATTCTAGTCCTCACCATGGTTATCTCTGTACTTGTCCTGTCTATATAGGGGCTATTGGCCCTGCTAGTACCTGGCATTCTTTGTAAACTCAACTGGCCCTCAGCCGTACAGATTCAGCTGTATATGTCTGGGCACAGTAGATGTACATTAGCTTGGTTGCAGGTGGCTAGACCACATCTGGACATATTGCTATCTAATTTGCACATTCTAGCAAAAAATGTTAAATTAGAAATAATTGATAAAAGTCTGTGTTTTCTCTTTTGATAAATAATGGTGTGCAGCCTTGTTTTGGGTTGTGTTGTTGTTGTTGCTGATTGTTTTCTGATAGGGTCTCCCTAGTCACAGCCCACCTGGAAGTCACGGTATGAACCAGGGTGGCCTCGATCTCACAGAGATCCACTTGCCTCTGCCTCCTGAGGGCTGGGATTAAAGGCACGCCACCATGCCCAGCATGCAGCCCTGTTTTAATGACTAACCAATATTAGAAACAGAAGGTACCATCCAAGGCAGCTAAGCATCCCAAGAATTCCCTGGCCCTCTGGGTACTCTGGGTTACTTTGGGGAAACAACTCTATCAGCCACATGAAGATGTGGAGAGTTAGGGACCATGACTGTGGCATTCAGGCTGGAAATTCACCTATATATCTAGTATAAGTACTATAGGGAGGTGGGTAGAGCTCCAAAGAGCAGAGCTCAGTACTCACTCAGCCCATCTTCACTGGGCTGTGCATCTTAAAGGCTGACAGACATTGTTGGTTGCTGGAAGTAGAAAGGAGACCAAGCCTGCTTAACCCTCTTGAGCCTTAGCCATGGGAAGAGGAAAGCAGTCTGAAGGTGGTAGACTCTGTGCCTGGAATGAGAGCAATACTTGGGTGGGGTAATGGTGGAAGCCTCTCTGAGTAGGTGTATGAGCTGGAGCTTGAGCAGAGGAGAGGCAGGAGCCCTGCAGAAATCTGTGGTAAGAGCATTGCTGATCCCTGATTAAGAAATATTGTATAGGCTTCCAGCCCAGAGTTTCAGAAAAACCAGCATGAAACAACCGGCAGCCATTGGTGGAAGGTGCCAAGAGACCAAAGAAAGAGGCAGACAGATCATGATGGCAGAGTGCAGTTTGTTGGAGACTTACAGAAAGCATGGTCAGAGGCCACAGGAAAAGTGTTATGTTCCCACCTCTTGGGGCAGAAAGAGGGTGCTTATAGATGTTTAGAGCAATGGCTTCCATCCAAGCTGGAATGAACCTGGTTTGTATCTAAGTAAAAGTAAAGTTGCTAGCACATTTCTGATACTGATGGTGAGTAGGATATGATGCAGGGAAATAGGCCAGAGTTGCTCAGGGATTTCCTGGCAATTGTGACTCAAGATAGATGCATCAAGCCAAGCTGAATCCTTTCAACCTGGAGAGAGAGCACAGTGAACAGGCTCCAGTGGGCCATGGTGAGGCATACAGACATACACCAGGGTGTGTGAGCCTGTGGGCTTGTGCTGTAGGGTGTTTCTGATTTACGGTGACCACCCTGACTACTGTGAAGGCAGAGGCAAGCGACAGATGCCTTTTGAGCCCAACTTTGGGAGAACTGGCTATGCAAAGTATAGAGTGAGCTGTAGATATATGCCTGGAGCATCTGCTACGTGCAGTTCAGGGGCAGAGGGGACCCTCAAGGTGATATAAGTTTCTACACATTTTTGTTACACAAATGTCGCTTAGAGCTACCTAAGTGAGCTCTTTATTCAAGGTCCTCTGGAGAGCCCCTACTTGCCAGCGCCACTCCTTGCCCAGTGTCCTCCCCTGCCAGGGCTTTACCCACCACTAGCTGAGTATTGCCCATGCCATCGATATGTAACTAACCCACCAGTGAGTCCCCTGCTGCCTGTGTGTGATTCTTGATGACACTTTACTTTTAATGTCATAGAGGGAACTAGACACGTACCCTGGATGTTGCCAGTTCCCTCCCTCCATTTTCAGTCATCTTCCCTCATTTGACTCTGTCCTTACCAGGTGTCAGTAACCCGTACAGGGTCCTCTTGACCTGAGCCAGTGCCTCTCTGTGTGCTCTCTACTGCTGCCCTGAGGCTCTTTCTTCCTGATCTGTGGGTTGTTCTTATCAACATTCCACTTAGTGTGATGGCTGCTTTGCCTAGCTATCTTGATCTTCATTTTCTCACTTTGCATTGTTCTAGCAAAACATACTTGCTTAAACGTAATGCACAAATCTCATTTCCTGGCACCACTTGCTGTCTCTTCCTCAGCAAGAGGTTAACAGAGCAGTAGGCTACGTGGGTGGTTTCCTAGAAAGGAAAGTGCCTCCTTGAAACTAGTACCAATTTAATAGTTTTTTTAAAAACCTTAGTGCTGTTATTTTGCTAAATGATATTGAAAGCAAAATACAAGTAGCGAAGTGTTTTCTGTCACATGGTTAACCTGCTCAACTTCAGATTGTTTCCTTTATGTGATGTGAGATGTTTGTACATCAGGAACCACTTTAAATAAGTAATCAACTCATCATCTAGGTGTTCTGTTTTTTTGTTTTGTTTTTGCTGTGGCTACAAAATTACCCTAGACTTCAGTTTACTGCTTTCCTTATATCAAGGTCTCTGTAGCCCCAACTGGCCTGGAACTTGCTATGTAGACCATGCTGGCCTCCATCTCACAGAGATCTGCCTGCCTCTGCCTCCTGAGTGAAGTGTTGGGATTAAAGGTGTGTGCCACCATACCCCACCCCCCACTTTATTTTTTGAGGTGCTATCTCTCACTAAATCTGGAGCTCATCAGTTTGGCTAGACTGGCTGACCATGGAGCTCTAGCACCATCTTCCACCCTCCCAGCACAGGAGTTAAGGTACATACTGCTGCACCCGGCTTGTTATGTGGATGCTAAGGATCCAAATTCAAGTGCTCATGCTTATAGGAGAAGCACTTTATGGCTGAGCTTTCTCCCAGCCTCTCGTTATCAGTTATCTCTATAAATGTTAAGTGTACTTAGGAACAGCATTTTCTTTTTCTTTTTTATTTTATGTGTATTCATATATTGCCTGCATGTAGGTAAGTGCACCCATGTCGTGCAATGCCTGCAGAGGACAGAAGAGGCTATAGGATCCCCTGGAACTGGAGTTACGGACAGTTGTTAGCTGCCATATGGGTGCTGGGATTTGAACCCGGGTCTTCTGCAAGAACAGTCAGTGTTCTTAACTGCTGAGCCATCTCTCTAGCCCCTCGTTTTATAATTCAAAAAGCAGAGTGGGTAAATGTGTTCAGACATGTTCAGAAGCAATTCCATTTTTAATCTTTTTAAAAATAAGAAACTGACATACTATAATTTTAGCTTATTCATTATAGTTATACTTAATTCATTTTTAATGAATACAGAATATTCTATTGCATGAATTAAAACATTAGATTATAACATTGTGATAACGGCACTAATTATTACATTGTATTTATATATCCCTTCGTGCCACATTTTGAGGATAAAAACCTAGAAAATAACCATTAATTTTTTTTCTTGACAGATTTTCAAACCACTGGTTGAAAATAGTATACCTAGTTCAATCACCGCAGTGGAATTCCTTATTGATAAACAACTGGATTTTTTAACTGAAGACAGTGCCTTTCAGCCATACCAGGTAAGAAACTTTACATTACTTTTAAAAGTTGAACAGCTTGTCACCTAACATTTTAGGTATTCAGGGAACCCAGAGTATTCAGTCCATTTCAATTATAACACAGTTGATTTGTTTACCAATAGATGTGTACTGAGAACTGCTGTGAACCAGGAGCACTGTCTGCTGCTAGGGTTAGAGACGGGAGCACAGCAGACTTGTCATTCTAAACGTTAGAACATAAACTGGACACTAGTATAGATTTTGCTCATCTTCAACTCTAAAGGATAGGGCCTCTAAAGGTAATGGAGATTGTGTGTTTGGGGAATGTATATTTGTTATCATATTGAGACTCAAGCCAAGGGCCCTGAGTTTGTTAGTCGTTTTCCCAGTTTTTGGTTTTTTTTGTTTTTTTTTTTTAAGCGGAAATTTTTCTTTAGGTAGTTATTAATTGAATGATTTAATAGCTTAAGTAAGTATATTTTGGGGTGAAAAATGTTTCCCAGTAGACAATAAGATTTAAATGTGAAGAAACTTATCAGGAGTATTATTAACTTGGTGTGGCAGTATCCACCTGTAATACCAGCATTTAGGAGGCTGATGCAGAAGGATCTTTCAGGAACAGCCTAGGCTACTTAGGAAGAGTCTGTTTCAAAAGTTATATAAAGGGCTGGAGCCAGGCGCGGTGGTACATGCCTGTAGTCCCAGCACTCCGGGCAAAGGCAGGCAGATCTCTATGAGTTCAGGCCAGCCTGGTCTACATAGTGCGTTCCAGGACAGCTGGGGCTACAGGGAGACCCTGTTTCAAAAAGATGAATGAATGAATGAATGAATCCATTCATTCATTCATTAAAAAAAATAAATGGGTCAGAGAGCTGTATCAGCCAAGAAGAGGACCTTAGTTAAGCTGTCAGCACCCACATCAGATAGCTCCAGGGAGTGGAAGCCCTCTTTCTCTGGTTACCTGGTGTACACAGAATGCACACAATATCCTTTTTCAAAGTAAAAGTATTGACCCCATTTTTTAATCTTCTAGCTTTTCATTAATGTTTTAAGATACAAGTATTAGGCTTTCAATTCAGTTACACACACGCACGCACACACGTGTGTTTGTAGGTATTTTTCTGGTTAAATGTTTAAAGCAGTATCATATTGCACTGAAGAAAAAGTGAGGAAACTGGCTTCTTTTTTTTTGGAGACAGGGTCTCCCTGTAGCCCCAGCTGGCCTGGAACTTGAACTCACTTTGTAGACTAGTCTGGCCTTGATCTCACAGAGACCCGCCTGCCTCTGTCCTCAGCTCCTGAGTGCTGGGATCAAAGGCGTGCACCACCACACCCAGCTTTGGTTTCATTTTTTTTCCCTCATAAGGAGTGGAAAGTTAGTATTCCGATTTCATTTCAGACTAGTTTTCTGGTTTTCAGAAAATGAAGCCTAGAGCCATCGTTTCCATGGGAAGAACAGGGGCCAGAGTTAATGAGCAGTGACTTGTGCTGAAGCTATAGTGCTTAGGGAATTAGAGCAGTTCTGCTGAAGGGGGTGGTAGTTCCATCACTGTAAACACTGCTTCCTCCTGCAAAGATACAGGGCTTGGCACTTGTTTATTTCTCTTACTTGCTTAAATGGGTTTTGATACTGTTAGCTCTTATACATTGCTAACAACATTGGAGGCTGAGAATTCATAGCAAATCCCAGTTTAGTAATGGAGGTGCTTGAGCTTTTTTCCCTTGGGTTTTACTTTGTTTTCGTGACTGCCGTCTACTTATGATAGGCCTTAGTATCATTAGCTTCATTTCTAAGTCATTTAGAGTGACTTCAAATAGGTAAATCTAGGTGAAGTCAACTAAACCGTCCAATTCATAGCATTTTCCTTCTTTATGAGCACCTTAAAATTTAGCTTGGATGTGATTTAGAAAAGTGTAATGGTTATATAGATACTCCGTTTCAAAAATACATACTTATTTGACTTTTCAAATTATGTGTGTGTGTGTATATATGTGCATTGCGTATGTGTGTGCTTGTAACAGTTACAGACTGCCTTGAGCCACCCAGCGTGGACTTGGTCCTTTTGAAGAGCAATAATACACTGTTAACTACTGAGCCGTCTCTCCAGTCTTGGGGCAGATTTTGCTTTTAAAAATAAACCTTAGTTGGACATGGCGCAGGCCTTTAATCCCAGTTCTTGGGAGGCAAAGGCAAGCTGATTTCTGAGATCCAGGCCAGGCTGGCCTACATTGGGAGTGCCAGGGCAGCTGGGGCTTGAAGGGGACCCGGTCTGAAAAAAAACAACTCCTAAGACTGCAATAGGTTGATTAAAATTAGAATGACTGGACAGATGTGCTAACCCACATTCCCCTGACATTTTAGTAATGTTTTAGATTCTGATGGTGTTTTTCTTCTTAATAAAGTCACAGGAGCCAAAAATTTTGTGTGGTTTTGGTCAGTTTTGTGATTGTTAATTGTTCAGAAAGTTATCTGGATTTCTTATTCATAGAGGTTGTAAATCAACCTCTGGCATGGAAGGGTTCTTATCTTCAAGAAGTGAAGTGACTCATTGTAGATTCTTGTTTTGTTGTTTTTTTTGGATTCGGTATTGAACCCAGGACCTTGCATTGCATACTGTTGGCAAGGACTCTGCCGCCAAGCTACATCCTTAGGCCCGACCCCTTATTTATCATATAACTATGTTAAAAATAAAACATTAGCCTGAGATTCCTTGACTTTTAGAACTTCTCATACATTTTCTAAGTGATGGTTTACAATCAAGAGTATTGTTTTGATTTTGAGATAGGGTTCACTGCATAATCCAGGCTTCTCATGAAACTCAGTGGTGACCTGTGACCTCCTGTCTTAGTCTCCCCAGTGCTGATATTACAGGTGTGAGCAGCCAGGCCTGGCTACAAGAGTCTTTCATGTGCATTTTCACTTTATGACTTTAGGTTTTTTTGAATTATGTTAAAAAATCAGTATACTTTCTCCAGGTCATAAGTGATGGAGTTATATGCGCTGTTGAGTAGAAATACACTAAAAGACCTAACATAGCTCAACCTCCTTTGTCATATTTACCTAACTTACAAAACATAGGCATATTCAAAGACAAGGAAAAATACTGATGTTCATTTAATTAGAGTGATTTTATTCCAGAATTCTTTATTCCAGCCAGTTATTCAAGAGCTATATCAAATTCCCTGGCATCCTAAACATGGTGGTAGTGTACTAGTATAGATTTTGTAATTGCCTTGACTTGTCTTAACCTCAGGGGCAACCTTGTATGAATCAAAGGACTTTGGACACTTGAACAGGCCTTGCAGTTGTCAAACATTTTTTTCTTAATTTGAATTTCATGAAGCAGTTTCTTTTGAATAAGGCTGCTAATTACCCTTAATGAACTACTTGGTTACATGTACGGTGGGGTGCTCTTCTCTTCTTTAGAAATGCACTTTTTGCATATAATTTTTAGCCTATATTGATGAGTACATAGTTTTAGCTTAGAAATTCCCAGATGTGATAGTTTATTGTGAACTTTACTAAATGCTTCTGCAATGAGAACTTCTCTCTCCCTGCCTGTGTCCCTAAGGCGGCGACGTTTTATTCCGTAGCTGCATGTCCACTTTAGTTTCCTTTACAGTGGCGCATCTTTTTCTTTTTTTTTTTTTAAATTCAAATTAGAATAAGAATGCAGAGAGTTAAGGAAATGGTTAGGAAATGGTGACTCATGATTAACATAGGCCCTTTCACTTCAAGTCATTGATTTACATACTACTCTTTAGTTTCTGAACTATTTCAGTGCCTTTAAAACCAGATTGCATGTATTAAATATTTTTGTCTGATTAGATTTTTGGTGCTGTGAAATTGGGTATTTCAAGATACAGTTGTTGCAGATTCTAATTTTCAATTTTTAGGAAGAATGTCAACTGGAAAGAGATTGAACCAGTCTTAGGAAGTGTACAGTCAATGCGTATTAATTACTTCACTCGAGCTAGTGTCTTGGTATTGTTAAGGTGTCTCTTTCTTTGTTTTCCCTTTCCCTGTGCTCCCAGATGATGGCTTCCTCTTAGTTTTCCTGACCCTGCCTAATTGCAGTTAACTTTCTTTGAAGCTGGTGGGGGAGGGAACAAAGAGAGGAAATAGGGGAACTTTGCAGATTCTACTGTTGGTTTTAGTTGGCTGGGGAGGAGGGAGGGAAAGAAATCATTGCTGCACTTTTGGGGGAGAGAAGAGGAAGACAGGGTCTCCCTATGTAGCCCCAGCTGGCCTGGACCTCTGTACACTGGACTTGCCTGGATCTCAAGAGATTTGCCTGCCTCTGTCTTCGCTACCACACCCAGCTCAGTCATTGCTTTTTAAAGATTCTTTCCATTTGAAGTTTTTTGTTGTTACTATAGTTGGTTTTGCTCAACTTTGGAATGTGATTACAGAAAACTAAAAAAAACCCTTTTCGTCTAATTTAATTGTACTTTTGATCAAAGTTTAAAATAAGATTGATAAAGCAATAGAACATTCAGCTTTCAGCATGATTTTGAAATCAGCTTGTCCTAGATTTGGCAACTAGCCATGCACACACCTGCAGTTTTCAAGATGGTTGCTTCATACAGGATATAAAAAAGAGATTATTTCTTGCCTGAGAGTTGTATATGACTCATATCAGTTAAACACGGCTTGGTCTGCTCTGTTAGTCCAATATTTTCTAGGGATCACAGTCCACCCTCTGCTTTTAAATGTGTGAAAAAAATAAAATTAAGTGTCCTAGTTAAATAGAGACTTGCTGAAGAAGGTGATTGTCCAAATGTATGTTTTCTCATCTGTTTCATGCTGAAATGTGTTCTTCTAGTCAGGGATTTTCCCTAGTATAAGGTAGTTATCCATAGAACCTAATGAATGCTTATCTCTGAAACCCTGAATCATAATGAACTAATCAATTCAGAAATAAAACTGTTAGTATCATAGTTTTTCTCCTTGTAGTATATACATATCGAACCATTTTTACTGGGCTGTGAATTACTGGTTATAGGAAAATGGGATGGGT